TTCACTTCGAGTGTTCTTCACTTTGAGTCTTCTTCACTTAGAGTCTTCTTAACTTCGAGTGTACTTCACTTCAAGTGTTCTTCACTGCAAGTGTTCTTGACTTTGAGTATTTTTCACTTCAAATATTATTGACTCCCAGTGTTTTTCACTTCTTTCGACCTATTCCATCACTACAATTTTAAAGTTTCCTAATATATTGAGCAAATTTTAGATAATTATCTTCTGTTTTAGAAGTAAATGTGGTCATATTATAACTTTACCAATAAACTAAACTATTTTTGACACTGACTTATAATATTTATTGCAGTGAGATTTATTTAGTATCTATATTTTAATTTTCTCAAATTATCTATATATTTGATAAATACTTATAAGAATACTATTGAATGATAACACCATTGGCATTAAATTCTATTTTAATAAAAATTTCACAATATATGGACTTAAATTTCCAATATTATATATTCTCCAGGTAATTACCTTAGATAAACAACAACAGTTTTTAATTGTTTTTATTTTTTTTTTGATTCTTGTTAGCTTAAAATAAAATATATTCTAGTTGTTTACCTTAGACTCATCGTTTATTCCTGCGGCATATTTCCATAGTTTGGAATACCTCAGCTGGGTATTAAAATGTAACAGCTTCTTTTCGTTGCCTTCTCCCATCGAAAAACACATTTTTTTTTTCGTGCTTTCATGTTAGATAAAAGTTATTTTTAAATTTTAGTATTTTCGGAGGGTATTTCACAGACAGAAAAAAACACATTTTTTTTCACTTTATAAACTGGAAGCTTTGAAGTTTTATTTCATATTTTGTTTAGTGTCATTTTATTGTTGTTGTTTTTGGAATATACACTTAATGGTCTTTGACTTGGGGGATAAACGTCAACAACAGACAACAACAGAAATAACAGCAGCAACAGCAGCAACAGAACATTAGCATTAGCAGCACTTAAAGTAGCAGTATGAACAGAATACACCGCACCGCATCGCACCACATCAGCACCACTAGACACCCATCCAGCACCAATGGACACCGAACAGCAGGGCGTCTTCACACTTTTTTCGACAATATTCGAAATTCTTTGTTCTCCCCCTACAATGTAGTGGCAGCGATAGTAGCGCTAAAATTATGCGGTTTAAATTTGTCACAGAGTGTGGTAATTTTATAGCTTATTTGCAACCTAAAAAAGCAATAAACAAAACTTTTTGGTTACCTTAAATTTGGTGTTAATGCCTAATTTAAATGCCACCATCACACGCAGAGCCACGTTGGAATTTTTCAATTTTCGCCGGAAGTAGGAAAAAAGAATTGTCATTTAAATTAAAATAATTTATTATGTAAAAAGTTGTTGTTATTGAAATTCCGAACTTTTGGGAAAAACAAAAAAATATTTGGAATAAATAGAATGTTATTTTTGTTTTAATTAATAATAAATAACTGCTTTTGTATTCATGAGATTGCATAAAAATTTAATTGATTATATATTATCTTATTATTATAAAAATAGCATCCCTGTTGTTGGACAGGATTGTGTTAGTAACCAACGGTATCTCTTCAAAATATAACAAAATTCATTCTTGACTATTTGACAATAAGAATATTATTACTAGTGTTGACCGGAATTCTTTTAATAACTTTATAAAAGAAGCATAACATAACATATCGACCGATCCCACAGTATCTATGCAAGATATTATCTAAGTCAGTCTTACGCATTGGGTTTGAACAATATCATCTCTGCTGTAGGATATGGTTGTATTAGTGAATGAATTAGTGAATAAATAAGGCTTAAGTATGATACAATATATCGATCGAGGTCTTGGTATCCAAGATATGATGTAAAAATCAGTATTCAGCATTTGATTTTAAAAATATCATCTCTGGTGTACCTATCAAACATATTTATCAAAGATATGGTGCAAAAGTCATTGTTGAGAATTTGGTTATAAGAATCTAGAAGGCTTAAGTATGAAACAATATATCGATCCAGACCTTAGTATCAAAAATATTATGTAAAAGTCAGTACTGAGAGTATGATTGTAAAAATATCATATCTATAGTATAAGATACGATTATATTAGTAAATTAATAAATAAACTTAAATACGATACAATATTTCGATCAAGACCTTAGTATCAAATATGTAACA